CCCCCCCCCCCCCGGAACTGTGGAGCCAGAGGCGGGTGAGACAAATGCCAGAGCGGGAGCAGAGGAGGCTGGCCTCGAGAGGCATGCCGTGTCAGTGGGGCTGTAGGAGGCATCACCTAGGAGGCTGGGAAGGTTTCACATTAATTGGAGGCATAGGATAGATGCTGAAAAAAGCACCTTAAAACAGGGGGTGCAGATGGTAGGTGTCTGAGGAGCCCTGAGTCAGAGGTGTTTACATACTTGAAAAAGCTTGGGATAAACTGGAAGCTGAAAGTCAGCCTCCTGGGATCTTGACGCTCCCAGCCCCCAAGCAGAGCTGAGGGCTATCTGCTGTGGTCCAGGGTTAGGGTCTAGGGCTCCCCTGGCTCGGGGAGGAATGAGGAAGCCACAGGACAAACAGCGCCTTTGGCACATCAGCCTGGTCCTTGAACAGGCTGAGAGATTTCCAGAGTGCCTGGCGCTGGGGGGCTGATGCCAGTCTCACCTCTCCCCACTCTCGAGGAATAATTACTGGGTAAGTGGTTCAAGAGGGAATTGAGTGGCACTTCTGAAGCAGCGTGGAGCAAACAGCCCCCCAGAGAGGCTGAGCTGGCCTCCTGTTCTCTTCCCAGCCAAGCTTCCCACGCTGAGGGCCGGGTCAGACTCGGGATGAAGGTGCAGGCCCTGCCGGGTTCTCCCTGCCCTGACGGCCCCGTGTAATGCTTGCGCAGCCAGGGGCTGCACCGAGGCATCCGCGTACCCGGAAGAGCCAGAGCCAGGCCTGGAGCAGGTTCCCTCCTGCTGGGACGGGGACCCCCATGGGGCAGGACCGCAGCCAGCACCCCAACGAGCAGGAGCTGTGGTCACGTCTGGGCCATGAGGACCCGATCCTGGGTCTCCCTATCCTGGGTTCCAGGTTAGTCAGGCACTGAGTAGGGAGGCCAGCAACATCTGGGGTGGGGTGATCATCTCTGGTTTGTCACAGGCCCCGGTCATCCTCAAAGTCATTTGTGACTCTGTAAATCAGCCACTTAGCCTAAGGCATGAGGAAGGTGCATACCTGGAGCCGGGAGGCAGGATGTGTGCTCTTGGACAAGTCACTTAACTTCTCTGGGCCTTGCACCTTCCTGTCTGTCAAATGGATTGTCATGGACTAAACGTTTGTGTCCCTCGTCCCCCAAATTCATATGTCGAAGCCCCAACCTCCAATGGGATGATGCTAGGAGGTCAGGCCTTTGGGAGGTGATTAGGTCATGAAGGTGGAGCCCTCATAATAGGATTAGTGCCCTTATAAAGGAGGCCCCGGAGAGCTCCCTGGCTCCTTATGCCGTGGGAAGACACAGCAAGCAGGTGGCCGTCTGTAAGCCAGGAAGAGGGCCCTTACCGGACACCAAATCTGTCAGCACCTTGATCTTGGACTTCCCAGCCTCTAGAACTGTGAGAAATAAACGTCTGTTGTTTAAGCCACCCAGTCTGTAGCATTTTGTTATACAGCCCAAGCTGACTAAACACAAGGATAATATCTGGATCAGTAAGAGGATGGGTATTATATACAAAGAGTGTTAGTCTTGTCAGTGCTGTGAATACAGTGCTGGCGAGACAATCCAATGCCACAAACATCCACGGCGTGTTGCACGTGCCTGGCTTCGTGCTTGGAAGCCAAGGCTCCAGTGCAATTCAGACACTGACCAGAAGCCTACTGGGCAGATACTGCTGTGAAGGCCACAGTGCCACCCAACCCTCCACGCTGGTGCTGAGAGCTGCTGTGTGCACGGCCTCACCACCCACCTGTATCATGTACAGCTGGGCAATGCGGTACTCCTCCACGGTCATTGGCAGAGGAATCCGATATTCCTTTATAATCATCTTGGAGTCCAAGCCTTCCCGTCAATGGGGAACTGTGCGTTGGGACTTCTAGGCGAGGTTCCTTAAATAACCATGACAAAATTCACCAAGGACCCCTGAGAGAGAAAGAGAGGACAGGAGAGTCACTTTCTGCAAAAGCTGATGGGTAAAGTAGCACAGGACGGGCCTGGTCTAGACCCCAGGCTAGAGTTCTGGTCTCAAGTCAGCCGTGAGCCCACTGTGTGACCCTGAGCCCACCGCGTGACCTTGAGCAAGTTCCCTCACCTCCCCAGCCTCCATTTTCCCTATCTGCTAAGCAACTGTGTGCAGGACATGTATAAACTCTGATCAGCCACGAGGAAATAAAGGATTGTTATCCTGCTAGCGAGGGCCAGGCGATGGGAGGGCATCGCATCCCCTAAGAATCAAGAACATCGCGTTCTTGTTTTACGCAAAGTTCTAACAGCCTGCAGCCTCTGCTCCCCCGGGTTCTGGAGTAGCTGGAGGCCGGCACGGTGACGGCAGCGAGTGCTGACGGCCGGCAAGAAGGCAGGACAGACAAAACTACGAAAAACAGACGTGAGAATTTTAAAAATCAGCAGTCTTGGACCATTCGGCGTCAGGGCAATCGGTTCTGCTCCTGTCACCGGGTGCAGATGGCAACACTGCTTCCTGGCAGCAGATCTCGAGTTATCAAAAGAGGTGACCTTAGGTGTAGTTTCAGTTCAATCCACCACCAACTGCTTATTGATACCTACTCTATTGCCGACATTGGTCTAGGTCTTGGAGATAGAAGAGGAAAATCAGATAAATGGGTGGATTGCACGGCATGTGAATTGTATCTCAATAAAGCTATTTAAAAAATAAAAGCAAGCAATGTATTCACAGTAACTTGTATTTAAGATGACAATATATTTGATGAAGACTTGCACCTAAAGCAATCATATTTAAAAAAAACAAAACAAAACGTAATGCTTGAAGGAGGCATACCTGCAGTGACCTGGAAAATGAAATCACTCATCATAATCTGTCCCTTAGGTGGTGGGGGCTGTGCTGTGCTGTGGATATATTTGGTTACCCCCAGAGAGACTGGATGCTGTTAACTGGAAGCTGAGTGAAGGTTTCCAAGACAGGCAGTGGCAGAATCAGGATAGTAGTTTAGAAGAACCACGCCGGGGACAGCAGTCAGTGAGGATTCACAGGGACTGGAGGCAGGATGCTGGCTAAGTGATAAAAGCAAGGGCCGACCGGGCGGGCAGCTTCCCCAGGGCACCATGTGTACGAGGCCTGAGCATCACCCAGGCACTAACGCATTACTGGATAACTAACGCGATTGGGAAAAGCATGTATACCAGAACTCTTGGGACCTTCAGTACGTAAGGTGGAAAGAAATTCTTTAATAAGCCACCTAAGGAGGGAGATGGAGGCTGGGGATGGCCCCCACCGTTATTAGCCTAAAGTGACCCCCGTGTTGTTTTCTTCTTTACAGCAGGCAGGACTATTAGCCCCCAAAACACCCAGCACCAAACTCAACTTCTCACTTATCCAACTGCTTGAAATATAGCCCAGATAAACATCTTTTTAGCCCATTAGAGTTCATCTACTTTACATACCCCAGAAACTGCACCCAACATCTGCTAGGCATGGATGACACAAACCTGAGTTCATAAAAGACCCCAAAGGGGGAGTTTTGTGACCCAGAGGCTCTCCATCGTGATTCTGAGCGATGCCACCTAGACACATGAGCCCCCTGTCTAACTCCGCCTCTCCCTTTCTGGGTGGTGGTCCCACATCATTGTATCTGGAAGGCCTCTTGCTGGGAGAAATTTTCCACCCTAGCAAACCTGTCCCAGCGCCATCCAGGAAAGCTTGTTACTGCCCCTCCTGGTCCTGTCTCTTCCCTGATCAACCCCAGACCGCTGAGCTTACCACAAAGGGGAGGACTCAACTCTCCAGAGGCCGTGCTCATGTGCAAACATCACCTCTAACCTTCCTTGAAGGTGTGGGTCCAGCCAACAGCTAAGAGGGCATGTGGGTTCGGGGCCCGAGCTGAAATTGTCCAGGAGGATGAGAAAACAGAGGCTGCAGGCTGCCTGGACTCGGCTCTGAGACCCACAGGTCCAAGCTCAAGCCTGGCTGGAAGCTGAGGCCTCAGGAGAGATGAGTGATGGTCCAGAGCCCCCAAGGCACCACCTCCTTCCACAAGAGGGTGTGACGCAAGACGCTGAGGGAATTCCCTGGCGGTCCAGTGGTTAGGACTCTGCGTTTTCGCTGCCAAGGGCACGGGTTCGATCCCTGGCGGGTACCTAGCAAGATCCCGCAAGCCTCGAGGCACAGCCAAAACAAGGAAACAAGACCCTGGGCTGAGCCGGGGCAGCAAGGCACCCAGGCTGACACCCCCAAGAGGGTAGGACAGGCACCCGATTTGGGAACCTCCTGACACAAACAAAGGAGAGAGAACCATATGCTTGCGAGAGGCTGGATGAAATGCGGACTGGAGACAGGAAAGGGAAAACCTAGGTTCGATAAGGGCCATTTTTCCAAAGCTTTTCCACATGGTTTTGTGGGCTCCTTCTGTGGCAAGGGATAATGCAATGACCCAGAGTGAGCCTGGGCAAGTCCACGTCGTCATCTAAACTGCTAACAAATAGGTCAGATGCAATCTCTATATGTTCTCGAGAAACTCTAAGCAACCTGCCCTTCTGGGCTCTTCACGGCTCCACAGTAAATGACCTGCCCGCGCTCGCCCACGCACGTCAGACCAAATGTCCACTGGTTTGCCTCTTCCAGCCCACCAGGCACCAGGGCAGGACGTGGGGCCGGACTATGCTTTTTCCTTAGAAGCCTCCATTTCCCCCCAACAGCCTCCACGTCCCCCCATCCTAACACCCGGATGGACTCTCAGACCATGAGCCAGCACCCAGACACAGGCTTGGTTCTCGATTTCGGGGGCCCTGTGAACACGTGTCTGGAACACACACAGGATAACGTTCCCCTCCTCCCCAAGTCTCCACTTTCTTCTCCCAAAGACAAGCTACCCAGTGAGCTGTAATCCCACAGGGGGCATCCACATCTCCACATGCAGCCTGAGGGCACAGAGACAGGGAGGGGACACATACCCAGAGGTCCCTCAGCTGCTCCCATGTCCTGGGGGAGCTGGGCTCTCAGGTGAAGCTTAGGGCCGACCAAGGGCAATAACCCCACGACGGCCCCCAGAAGACAACACGCCGCTTAGGCTGCATTTCCATCTCCTTCTGGGCTAGAGGAAGACAGCTGTGCCTCCACCCAACAGGGGCCAAAGAGTGACAGAGGTAGGTATGTAGAAGGAAAGAACAAAATAAACGGTCCTGTCTAGTTGTAGTTAAGTGCGTGGTGACTAATGACAGGAGAGGACTCAGAACTCTAAGAGTGACACAAAATGTGCAGCAGTCACAGTGGAGCTCCCCCCAGGGATCTGAGGTCGCAACCTGACAACGCGTTTCCCGGCCGTGTGATCCGTGCCCGCCGAGTCTCGGTCTCTCCATACGTCAAATGGGGATAATGCCACCCGCCGTCCAGAGTCATCACCAGTGTCACCGAGATCAGTGCGGGTGAAGTGCTCACCTGCCAGGGGGTGTTCGTCTCTCAGTCCAGAGGGACTTGGAAAAGGCTTCACAGAACATGGAGCTTTCAAACGACGTGAGCTGGGTTTCCCAGGATCAGTGAGATTCTGTTCAGCAGAGCATGTGGGAGGAGGATGCTCTGGGAGAAGGAACGGCACGAACAAAGGCCTCGAGGTGGGAACGCACCGCCCCATCGGAGACACCTCCCACTGGCACACCCCCAGCGTCGCCACGCCGCGTCCCCGGAGGATGGGGCCAGGGCAGTGGGGGCACAGAGGCCACCGGCGGCCACTCTCCACAGGGCAGGCTGTGCTCAAGGCTGAGATGAAGCTGCTCCCTGCAGCAGGCATGACAGCCACACCCACGCGCCCATGGAGTTCAGGGTCTGCCGGGGCGGGAGCAGGGTGACAAGAGACCATCACTTGCTTCAAGAAGGCTCCCTCCCAGGGGAGGAAAGACATACTCGCCAAACAGGGTGTAACCACAAAGCGTAAGTTTCCCAACAAGCACTTCCACACAGAAGCCAAGCCGTCCTTCCGAGCAGCCCTGGGGAAGGTCTGCGGTCACCCACACCCGCCAGGGCTGCTCTCTGGGAAGCCGTCAGTGCTCTGGGTCACTGCGATCCCCTTGGGTCACTCCCAGCAAGAGGAACAGTGCTCGGGAGAGGGACACTGGCCCCTCTGGGGGCTGTCTTTCAGGGAGATCACTCTGAAGGGGCCAACAGTCTCTTGTCTCATCAGACACTAGCATTTTATTTACTTAAGAAAGCCAGATCTGTTTCTTTCTACACCTATGCTAGTTGGTTCCGACAACTATCCTGACTTCCTGTTGAAGACAGAGCAGTGGGAGCTCTTCCGTTCTCAAAACGACAGACAGCGGCTAAAGATAGAGAAAAGTCACCACGGCCGAGGAACGAGGAGATGGCTGCAGCCCCGAACCACAGTCCATGAAGGATACCGGCCAGACACCACAAGGTCTGAGCTGGGAGGAAGGAACATGCTGACAGCTAACATGTGCCACCTCGGACCTCTGAACAAATACCACCTCCTGAAGGATATGGAACGATGGAGTCTAGGGCTGTGGACGCCCCCGGGGCAGGAGAGCCATCACCCCGTCTTCTGTTTTCTACTTTTTATTGAAGTACACGTACATCCAGGAACGCGCACATATCATAAGTACAGATATTTTCACAAACTGAACACACCCACACAGCCAGCAAACAGATCAAGAAACAGAAAATTAATAACCCCGAAGCACCCTCCCCCAGGCACACCTCCCCCACCATGGATAACCGTCTGCCTTTTGCCTGTTTTGTATTTTGCACTAGGTTGAAGCCTACGAACTGCCAATATCCAGCTGTCTTTGACCCACCGAATGCGCAGTTTCATATGGAATCAGGCTGTAAGTGCACTTTTGGTTCTGGCTGCTTTTGATCAACATCATGTTCCTGGGGTTCATCCAATTTGTTGCATGTAGTTGTAGAGAGCTCACTCTCACTGCTGTCTAATATTTCA